GGGGGGTCTCTGGTATGCTTACCATCCCAGAGCCAATGAGGTACTGGATCGTCTTCTCGACGGCCCTCATATTGACTCTCCCAGACAGATAGAGGTAGCGATTAAGGGCGTCCCCATGCCGGTTCTCTTCCGCGGTCCATGTTCGGGTCCATTTCCCCCAGGGAGTCGGGCTAGCACCCGTCTCGTCCCTTGTCCCGTCAAGAGTATTGAGCATAGTCTGGTAAGTAGGCAGAGCCTCTTCGGTGATCATATCGCCCACCAACACAACGAAATAGTCATCGGGAATCTCCAAAGCTCTTTTCCTCAGCTCCCTCACATCCTCGTAAAAGCTCTCAGAACTGGAATCGGGCAGATAATCCGATGGCTGCCAGCTCCTCTCTATCGGCTTCAACAATGGCAGCAAGGTTTCACCAGCCCACGAGTCCATGGACTTCACAATCTCGAGCTGCTCAAGAGACATGGAATGAGTCTTCCCAAGATCCACGGGCGCACCGCGCGACTTCCTCAAAGCCGCCGCATGCTGCGCACCAGCGCCGGCGGGCACCACCGTCGACGCGGAAACAGCTTCCGCACGGCTGCCAATCATTCATCCACAGATCACAGATACACACACATTTAATGACAACCCGTGAGTACTCAACCACAGCCGTCACAAACCACGGCCTGTGACGCCCGACTTACCCAGAGATTACCTGTCCGAAAGTTAAAGCTTTCCGCTTCCATGTCCCAACCCCCATGCCCCCTCCCTTCGCCCCCCTTTCGCCCCCCCCCCTTCTCGCTATCTCTCCCACCCCCCTTTCCCCGTCTCTCCCCGGCCCGCACACAAACAAAACAACATCTTCGACATTAAACATACCTGGTCCAGGTCCATCCCTCACCAACCTTACTGCTGTAATTGCATCTGAATTTGAAGGCCCATTCCCGAATTTCCTTGAGGGGCAACTTCGTTCCACTTTGGGCCGCCTGAATCAAGGGTCATTATTTCAGATGATCAGTATGATGAACTTCAGGGTTTCAGCCAGCCCGATCGCACCATAGTGGCTGCCTGGTCGAGGCACCCTTGCCCTGGCCGGAGCGCCGTATAACCGCACCGTATACAGATACTGCTACCCATACTCCAACAACGTATCAGGTCTTAGTTTTCAGGCAGCATCAAACTATGAGCGTACTTCAGATGCCAGGACCTCGATCAAATTGCCTCTCGAACTGGCCTTTTGCTAACGTCCCCCGATCAAGCAGAGGCCCATTAACCGCCGACATACATATCATACAAGCCTACAGAGCCTTCCCCAAATCTACAGAGATTTGAAGGAAGACTCAAATACCCCGAACTGGCCTTAACTCATTCCAGGAGCCTAAAGCTGGGTAAAGGCCCGAGCACGTATCTATGTACCGGGTTGTTATCTGGGGTGTGATCCCGGGCCCCTGTCTCTCAAAAGGGAAAAAACAAAACAAAACAAAAAAAAACTAAGTACCCAGACAGCCACTTTCGTGACCTCCACAACAGGACCGTTGTCGGTGTCGTGGAGATACATACCATACAAGCCTCAGAGCCTTTTTCCTCGTTAAAATGTAGACGGCCGAGACTGTTTAAGAGAACACACTCGCTGCAGTATTTCCTTCCTACCACTGATGCACTATGAACAATTTCCTCGCAGTGCCGCTGAGCTGAAGTTCTTATCCATATTTGCTTCCTCCTACACTTTCCCCAGACATCGAATTCATTCTACCACTCAACCCGACACAGAATTTCCCCATGCAGATGTGACGGCCGAGATTGTTTAAGAGATTCAAAAAAGCGCTGCAGTATTTTCTTCCTACCACTGTTGCACTATAAATTTCGCTGCAGTGCCGCTGAGCTGAAATTCTTATGCCATTCTTCCTTCCTCATGCTTTCCCCGGACTCCGCATTCATTCCACCACTATCCTCGACAAAGAATATCCTATTATTGTCGATCCACACCAAAATCAAATCAAATAAGATTAAATCAATTTCGCGATTCGCCGAAAGGCATTTTAGCCCTCCTACCACAGACACGTCGGTCATTCGCATTCTGGTCACGGTAAGAAAATCCGGGACTACAAGCCAGCTTGGCTTAAGCATACGAGACTTGATAAAGTCACATCACTCAGCTCAATAATTATTAAGTAATGAATCAACCAGTCACGAAAATAACTCGTTACTTTACTTTCTGAAAGTCACATCACTCAGCTCAATAATTATTAAATAATGAATCAACTGTTCATTAGACTATAGTAATCGACTTAATCTCAGAGCATAAAGCTTTCTTTCCTTCATTAGACTATAGTAATCGACTTAATCTCAGAGCATAAAAGCTTTCTTTCCTTCTTTACTACTAAAGTAGTCGACTTTATGACTCTGAGCATAAAAGCTTTCTTTCCTTCTTTACTCGATTATGCAATTCATCACTTATCTTACTTTCATTCGTGTACCCACTGAGTGCACGCAAATAAGAGTTTGAAGCAAAGAAATGAGCCTTCACGCTTCTCGCTGCCATAACTTGCCATCTACTCATGTGCTGGAGAAACACACCACATCATAAACTATTACTCCTAACCCATGGGCAGTGTACTCGAGACCAACTCGTTTTCAAACACAACGAAATTTACGTCTCGTCCTCTACACACTTCACTGCTGCTCTTCCGCGGCAGTCGGTCGACTCCATTACCGATCTTTAGCGGCAGTAGACCCAACAAGCTCTTTCGCACCTCTTCATTACAAATGATCTCCGCAGCAATCATTCCATAGATAGATTTGGCTCTCCCGCAACTAACAAGATCATTTGCACGTGCACGCCATTTTTTTATTCTTTTTTATTTTTCTTGCACGCCATTTTTTGTTTCCACCTTTACTCTAGATTCTCGATTCATGAGTGTCATTTTTTTTTTTTTTTTTTTTTTTCGTCTGAAACACCCACAATAACGGATAGGGGTGAAGAGCATGCACTCCTGTCACCCTTGCACAGAGGTCATGCTAATCTTCTCTGTATCGTTCCACTTTCATTCCTTAAAAACCACGCCCTCCTCTTCGTAGCCTTGACACGCACACTGAATTGCGGGGGGCTTAACCCGCACACTGAGACTGGGGGGGCGAGGGGGGAAAGGGAAATACAATAACGCGCGTGCAGTTCACTAGCAACACCCTTACACGATCATCAAACCCTTCGGCTCTCCCGCAACTACCAAAGATCATCTGCACGTGCACGCCCTCTTTCTTTTAACCCCCTTTTCATTTGAACCATTTCTCGATTTATGCGTGTCATCCTTGCGCAGGGGCCATGTTACTCTTCTCTGTATCGTTCCAACTGCAACGGGTGCCCCGAAGGCTCTCCCGCAACTACCAAAGATCATCTTCACGTGCATGCCCTCTTTCTTTTAACGCCCTTTATATTTGGACCATTTCTCGATTTATGCGCGTCATCCTTGCGCAGGGTCCATGCTCATCTTCTCCGTTTCGTTCCAATAATAACGGATGTCCCGAAGGACCACGCCCTCCTCTTCGTAGCCTTGACCCACACACTGAAATTAACGCGTCATCCTTGCGCAGGGTCCATGCTTATCTTCTCCGTTTCGTTCCAATTTTAACGGATGTCCCGAAGGACCACGCCCTCCTCTTCGTAGCCTTGACCCACA